TTGTGCTGAACACTGGAATTTGACACAATATTGTAAAATGATTATAAATCAATAAAAATTTTTAAAAAAACTATAATTCTAGCTCTGATTTTTTGACCTAAAAGTTTTTAAATAGTGTTTAATTTTGAAATGTTTCAGTTTTCTTCATTTAAACTGTTATTAATTCCTACTTTAGCTCACTTATGGTCAGAGGATGTGTCTCAGATGATTTGCCTGTAAGTGACTTGAATGCCTACTGCAAATTCCCTGGTGACCTGGTACTTTAGAACCCACAACACAAAAACATTAGCACCAGCATGAAAGATGTCAACAAGGGAGAGTTTATACTACTAGAAGGCCGCAAAATTGATTCTCCAAAACGTCCCATTGCCATGTCATCTGAAGTGTCTAAACATTCTTAAAAAATTTGTTACTCTGAAATACTTTACTTGTATTAATTACAATTCCATAAAAATATTTTCCAGGGTGGGAAAAAGGGAGCAGAGGGAGGCAGGTTAAGTGAATAAAAGTCATACTAAATAATGTTTATAAACATTTGGTTGGTGATTTCCATAATCAGTATTCAATATACTCCACCACTTTTAAGCACCTATTGGTATCTATTTGACATTATTCAGCAATCTGAATAATTTTGTCTCATGACCTATGAAGAGCCGTGCATGAACAGTTGCCCAGTACAAAGTCACTCTGACCACATTCCTTCCCTTTTTAAAACCCTTCCAAGCTTTGTTCTTATAATGTGTTTTAAAAATGCTCTTTGCTTTGGTCATTACTATGGGTGAACAGTTATCCCTACAGTTACTATCAAGATTTCTCCCAGAACCAGTTTGGGCCTCATCTACTTTCAGAAGTTCCTGGTGTAACCAACTTAATACCTATGAGACAGATGGAGGGTCAAGGACAAAGGACTGATAGGGAGCAGGGAGGAAGGGAAGGGGCCCCAGGTTTAGTCCCTCACTTGCCCGCCTCTGTATTGCTCTTCCTGCCATCTGTCCTCCAGGACAATATTTATTGTCTTGAACCACTCCTTCCCTAGGATAAAATTTCTTTCTCTAGGACCTTCTTTCTCTACATCTGACCTGCACAGCTTCTATCCAGAAAGCCAAGATCAGTCCTAGACCTTGGGCATCTCTCAGGTAGCAGAGGACCAAGGGAGAAGATGAGGACGACCACAGCCCATTTTTAACCGATCACCAGTGTAGGTGTTTCACTGTGACACCAAATAGATACTGAAAAGGTAGTCCCATTTGGCCCTTTAAAATACCTGAACTACTACTACCTTTTTTGCAGAGGCAGACATAAAACTTACCAGGATTATGCAAGGCCCAGCAGGCTGAATGAGAGCTGTTCAAAACCCACTTCTCCCTTGGATTAGCTTTCTAGTTTGTTCCCCTTGGAAATCTGATGAAGGTGGACTGTCAGCTGTGAGACAGGTGGGCCTGCTCTTGGTCAAATGCCCCAGGTGGTACCCTGTACCTGGTCTGGAAGGGCAGAAAGTCAACGTAAACACCTGCTAGAAGCCACAGCTCAGGGCTGCCTGCCGAGTGCACTGCATCTCTTGTTCCTGGGCCCTGGCCCTGGCCGGGACCAAGGCTACGCATGGTAGACTCTTACAAGAGGCAGTGGTATCTCATGGCTTCAAAGCCAGGGTGGCTCCTGCCTCCACCTGTATAGTCTGTGGGAACTGCTGCAAAAACTTCCACAGAACTGTGCCTAAAGCTGCCCCTGGCATGCTGTCCATGGTGTCTTGTCTGTCCTTTGTCCTTCAGAATAAACTGGTGTCAGACATGGCCTATCCAGGTCTTGAGAGTTTAAATGATAAGTTGAACCCAACACCAGCTACAATGACTGTTGCATATGCACTCGGCAGAGACAACACAATCCTATGTTACCACCAGATAGACACAAACATGGCTATGTATCGGATTAGAATCAACCAAGACAAACCTTTAAGAAATGGTTCAAGATCCTTAAAGGCATCACTGAGGTTTAGGGCAGAGAATAGGAAACATACAAAGAAAGGAAAGTACTCATCCATTAAGGGACTGGACTTAACATTTTTAGCAAACTTACTCATGAGTTATTTCTAAATAAAAGAGCAAGGTACCATGGTACAGAGGGAAGGCAATTTATCCGGGAACCAGATCTGGGTTTCACTCTGGCCATGTGGCCTTAGATAAGATCCTTCCGTCTGCAGCCATCAGTTTACTATAGTTTACTCATTAGAATACTACTGTGAAACCAGTCACGTTTATGTAACAGCACTACATAATAAGCAAATTCCATGTTAAGTAAAAAAAGGATAAAAATTATAAAGACAAAATTATTTCAATTATATTTTTAAAAAACATGCACAGAAAAAGAAATGGAAGCCACAGACATCAAGGGGGACTGTAAATGAAACTTAAATATTTTTTTTTCCCTGTTTTCTAAATTTTCTCAAATGAACATATTTTATAGTGGAAAAATAAATTTCAGTTGCATTTCCAACACCCTTGTTACTCACTATGACATTCTGTAATCAATCTTTTGCTCATTATCCTCTCTGGGCATACCATACTAAGATTAAGATTAACCCTGAAAATATCATCCCATATCAGGCTAGTTGTATTATCCTGAAAATGTAAACTGTTATAAGAGAATCTAGCAGAAGCAAGATTTAAATATCTTTTATTTAATTAACAGAGCTTAATTACTGTTTCTGACATACGTTGGGTATTTATGTATGTTTGTTGAATAATTAACGTAATTTTTACTCTTTAATTCATATCTCTAAAGAGCTATGTTTCTTCATATTGACTGGAATACCTAATTTTCATATTTAGATTTCCATGGACTTTAAGTTTTAAGACAAAATTAAGACCTTCTGAGCAAATCATTCTTGTCCTAATATTAACAGGGACATTTTGTATCAATATACTTACCATAATAAAGTTTGGGGAAAAGTAGGACTTAAAACATCTGAAGATACAAATTCCAAATTCTAAAATATGGGAATTTAAAATTATGAAAGAAAAACTAACTCAAGGAACTTTGGTATCTTTCAGATTTATCCTGTCAGTTGTTTGCTTATCTATATTCCTTCCAAAGGTATCTTTATGTTGCTTCTACAAACATAATAAGTTCTTGGGACATGCTATTTACATGTGCAAGTAAATAAACTTTACAAATATGTAAAAAGACCCATGTTAATTTTAGAAAGAATAACATGAAAAAAGGTGCTATGCCAGTTTTAACTTCACTGTTTTAATATCATGAAATACAAGTACAAAACATTGTACAAGTATACTCTGCTACATGGAGATGGAGTAATACATTTGTGTTCTCACCCGAATCCGTATTGCCCAGTGGTAGCCGCTGTGCCAGTGGCTTTCCACAGGGCTTTTCTACTACTCTTACGAAGTTTTATCAGGAATAAAAAAGCTTAGAACTCTTTTAAACCATTGCAGATTTATATTTATCTTAATATTCTTGTTCAGCTGCTTTGGGGAACTGTTAAGGAATACAAAATTGCCTTATGCAAGCGATTCGAGTAGGTAATTTTGTGATTTCACATTGGCCAAGATCTCCCTTATGCTGGCACTGCAGAGCCTCTGTGCACTTACATCAGCTTAGAAAAAAAGTGTTGTCGCAATAGCCCTCTTGTTGTTTAGGAAAGCAAATTACCATTTCCTGAAAAGCACAGAATGTTAGTTATTGGCTAAGCAATAATTCATGAAACTTCATTTACGTAAGACAAATAACAGCAACAGAGGACCGTAAAGACCCACGTGTACTAAAGAAAAACAAGTTCTCAAATATTCAAACTGTTTTTGCTACCTCTAAAGTGGTTTAATGACATCAAGTGAGAACACCAGCTAATAAAGAAAAAGTAAACTCTGTGAAACTGTCCAGACATCAGCTTTCATAACATACCTCACAGTTTTCAGCCATTTCAGGTAAGACTTTTCTTATGACAAACAAACAAAAAAATTATGAAAGCAGCATTTACTTTGTTGGAAATGTGAAAAAAATAAAAATACTGCTAATTTCATAAAATATTTGAAACTAATTTTGTTTTTATAAATAAATAAAGTGGTGTTTATCTTTTTTTAAAGTTTTAATTACCATTCTTGCTGTTAAAAATTATTTAAAGTTATGTCAACCTTTAAGGATAAACTTTGGGGTACTTAAAACAACATGTTTGGAAAACTGAACCACATTTTTTACTGCCAGGATTATGCTTTGTTCTTGGTCGAATCATCTTTGTTTCTTCTTTTTACATCCCAATTATAAACCCTGGCCATATCTGCAAGAATTGTCAAAGAAAATGCAAATACAATTCTAAAGATAACATATGCAATGCCTAACTATTCATTTACACAGTGAATCAAAAACGGCAATCACACAAAGTACTAGTGACAATATACCAAGAAAAGACTGAAACTAAATTCCACCAAAGCCAAGTCAAAGCCTGAAATCAGTCACTGCTTAGCATGTCTAGTCAACTATGGCGTTCTATCCGACAAACACAGGCCTTACAGTGTCAGCAGCTTTAAAGACAGCCCCTCATGCATAAAATTTCAAAGACTGTTCAAACCATGCCTTGACATGTAACACTTAAATTAGTACAATTTAATTATCAGTAATTTTATCTCTTACTCTGTTTAGTTTAACAGGACATTCACCCCACTTATTAAGCCATCTACATCTTTCCCTTTCCACAAGCACCATCCAGTACAGGCCTTCACACATCAACTATTTCTTTCATCACTGTACTAGTCATCTATATTTTCTCCAATCTTCTAAGAATTTTATTTATTTATTTTTCTCTGAATGAAGTCTCCACCTTACCAATCACATGCCAACCCTGCTCTAGGCCTCAAGTAGGCCTGCCTTCCCTCACCCGACCACTCAATACCTGTCATATTCTCCATGCTATGGAGAAAAGGGAGAAGTGCAGCCCCTACACTTGAAGAGCTCCCAGTCCAGCATGAAAAACAAAGTCCTACAAGCAAAGTGCTAAGCAAGCGCACAGTAACAACAAAACGCCCTGGCAGGATTAGAAAATATTCAGAAATGTTTCGCTGCTCGAGCTGAAATATGAAACATAAAAAGGAGTAACCAGGTAAGTAGGGGGAAATCATTCCAGGTAGGAGGAACAAAGTGTGGAAATGCAAACTACATGGCACATTTGAGGGGTGAGCAGGACAACTGACTGGGGTTACTTAGAACTCCGGGTGCACTGTGGGAGGGTGAGGACAGGAAGAAATCAGTGGCTTGAGGTAAAGCTGGCTGCAACCCCTCAGAGTGCCCATGTGCATACCTTACAAGTCACAAGGAACCAGGGAAGTACTATGACCAGAGGAATACACATAACACGCGTGACTCAGTAAATTCAGGGTGGAGATAGTGTGAATGACAGATGGGAGGAAAACAGACTAGAAAACTACCAAGTCCAGGTTCTGGAAGGCCAAAATGAGAGTCACAGCAATAGGCAGAGAGGTTTACAAGGGAAATCAGACAAGAGTCTGCTGATTAGTGGCTTTAGGTGACAAACAAGGAAGCAGTGAAGGTCTACTCCCAGGTTTCTGTCTTGGGTGACTGTGTGGTGCAAATGACTGTGACAGGAACCAGGAGGAGAGACAGGTCAGAGAGCAAAGGCCAAGAGCTGTGTTTCAACATGCCAGCCTTCCGCCTTGATGGGAATACCCATCCCCTGCCTCTTCTCTCCACTGATACAAATCCTACCCTGCCTTTAAAAACAGCCTAAGTTCTACCTTCTCAAAGCCTGCTCTGAACTAATTCCAGTTCATACCTATCTTTCTGTAACTTTAAAATTGCCTTGGTGTTCTGTACATGAAATGAACATACTTATATTTGCTATGAAATATGAAATATTTGTTACAAAATCATCATTTAGCTGGTTTACATGTACAGTTCTAAACAGCAAGACTTTGCCACTCTTTTTCTTTTTTGCACTGATTCCCTCACCATCCCATGCCCCATACAGCTTAGCACACTTGTAGGAACATAGGAGACCCTTAAAATAATGCTTGAGGAACTACTTACTTGACAAACTATTTGGAAGGAAAATGCTCATGTGTTAAATTGAATTTGCTCTTCCCATATTTTCATACTTCAAATTCAGATTAGTCTACCTACAAAGTTATTTAAGTACTAATATTAAGTATTAGTTCCAAATACATCATGTACTACTCTCATAAAATGTGCAACTTACCATTACTCTAAGAATAAGTACATTTTTCTCATTAAAGCAATGCATGTAAGAATGTTAAAAACATCTTTCTCCTTTCCTCCCTTTGCCTTTTTTTAACAAAGGATACTGACTTCTGTGGTAGTAAATTGATCTCGAAGAAAGTCCAGGTCTTCCTCAAGAGAATCAAGATTCTTTGTGGCAGTCGATAAATTCTTTTCCAACAAAGCCTGAGCCTCATCAATATCATATTCAAGCATTACATTAGCCTGGAGAGAGAGAACCATGATAGTCACTAAGCATTTACCTAGTACTTGATAGGTTAGAGTAGGGGTTGGCAAACTACAGTCCTTGCGCCAAATCCAGCTGGCCGCCTCTGTCATAAGTTTTATTGAAACCCAGCTATTTTTTATTCGCTTAGACTTTCACACCACAGTGGCAGAGTTAAATACTATTTGTGACAGAGACCATGTGGTCTGCAAAGCCAAAAATATTTACTCTGCCCTTTTACAGAAAGTTTATTGACTCATGAGTTAGAGTGTTCTTTACATATATTATATCATTTACTCCTCATAACAACCCTGTGAGGCAAGTTATCTGCTTTACAGTTAAGAACAGAGGCTCAGAGAATGTGACAATGAATGTATGTATGTTCATGTATAACTGAAAAATTGTGCCCTACACTGGAATTTGGCACATTGTAAAATGACTATAACTCAAAAAATGTTTAAAAACAAAACAAAACAAAAAAGAACAGAGGCTTAGAAGTCAGGTGACCTATGCTTGCATAGACAGTAAATAAATGGAAGAATGAGGATAAGAACCACTATGCTTAACATGGATGCTCCTGGAGAATGTAATTCTAAGTGAAGTAAGCCAGAAAGAGAAAAATACCATATGAGATAACTCATAGGTGGAATCTAAAAAATAAATAAATAAATAAATACAAAACAGAAACAGACTCATAGACATAGAATACAAACTTGTGGTTGCTAAGGGGGCAGAGGGTGGGAAGGGATAGACTGGGATTTCAAAATTGTAGATACTGACAGGCGTATGTAGAATAGATAAACAAGATTATACTCTATAGCACAGGGGAATATATACAAGATCTTGTGGTAGCTTACTGAGAAAAAAATATGACAATGAATATATGTATGTGCATGTATAACCGAAAAATTGTGCTCTACACTGGAATTTGATACAACATTGTAAAATGACTGTAACTCAATAAAAAATGTTAAAAAAAACCCCACTATGTTTAGTTACCAGATCCTATCTTTCTACTACCTCCATCATGACACTAACTAGTATTACATTTCAATAAACTTTAAAAGTTGTTTCTGAGCTTAAGATACAATAACTTAAAAGTTTTCAAAGACATATATATTACCTATATTTAATCCATTAAGAAAAGCAGCTAACTTTTACTGTCTCCTTCTCATTTCCAACAGATGGTAGGGGCAAAGGCAAAGTTACTGACTTACCACTTTCATCATCTGACAGATGGAATTTAAAAATTACTCAAATGATTGTCATAAGGATTAAATGAGACAACATGAAAATATTTGGCAAAAAGTAGGTGCTACATAGATACTTACTGACTGAATATGCCAATCTATGATAATTAGAAAACTGCATAAAAATTCAGGGACAAAAATATTCAATGAAAAGCAAATGCCTCTCCAAACCCATACCCACAATATCATTTCTCAATCAATTACTGTTGTCTCTTATAACCTTTTTTTTTTTCAGAAAATGCCTACACTTTGCCTACTTTAATAAGAAAAAATGGAATACATTTAAAAACACTTCATTCACATCAAAAACCATCAGTATCAGGCATTCATTTGGGAAGTACCCTGTGCCAAGTATTTCTCCCAAGCTGATTCACTCCTCAAATACTGCCTTATCAGCTTCTCCACTTGACGGTGTAATAGGAACCTCAACACTGACGTGCCCAAAACACAACTCCAAGTCACCGTGAAAACCTGTTTGTCCTTTGCCTGTGATTTGAGTTACAAATATTTTTTTCTATTCATTGCCTTTGACTTTGCTTATGGTTTCTGAGTTTTGTGGCCTAAAAAACTATCCTTATTCCAGGGTTACAAAATGAGTTATCTATGACTTGGCCTAGAACTTTGATAGTGTCAGTATTTCATGTAAGTATGTGATCTATTTGGAATTCATCCTCCTGTAAGGTGGGCTCCAGCTGCAGTTCTTACCAGAGAGCTCCCGGTTGTTCCAGTCTAGTTTATGGAATTATCTTATTCACACTTGTTGATGGAATGTGAGCCGAGGGAAAGCGAAACCAAGGAGGATAACCCCCAGGATTTGAGCCATTGGGTGGATAACTGTTCCATTTACAGAACCAAAACTAAACAAGTATGGGAATAATGGTGGCAGAATTAATAAAAACTCTGAAAATATTACAGCTAACAAAAAGCAGGAGAAGGAACTAAGGGATAGAGAAGCGAGTGCCTCTCAGGGATGATCCTACAGGACAGGAGGGAGAGCTTCGAGTAGTACTGACTTGCTACTTTGTATGGGAACTTGCCTGAGACAACAAGATGGATGGACAGCTAGCTGGACAGTCAGGAGTGACTCGGCTGGTTGGTCAGGGGACTGAGAGGAGTAAAGTAGGAAGAAATCACAGACAAGGTCTATGAAATCATCAAAATTGAAATACATGATTTAAAAAATGTATTCTAACCTCAAGTTTTTTGTAATAATCTTTTCTCCCTTTAGAGAGAAGCTTCTGGAACTAACAAACTCTTACGGTGAAGAAACATTTATCTGAGGTTCAACAGTACTTTCTATTTTACATGTATTGCTCTTCCTTCTGTTACATTTAAGAGAGGAAGCATTAGCTGGAGGGGAAGTAGGGTTGTGATCAGTTTTGTTTTGAGTGGGACAGACTTGAGCATGTTTCTGCAGTAATCTTCATCACACTCCTGATCCCCACTGGACACCACCCCCTCATTCCTTCCACAGTCAAGGGAGATGAGAACTTTACACAGCTCAAACAATACCACTGTGCAAGGGAAAACATCCTGGTTTACAAATGTCAGCCAAGGAAGCTGCGGCTACTACACTTACTTACCCCCAACCACAGACACACTTTATCAGTAGGAGGAACTGAAGCTTTGCAATACAAGTTATCTGCCAGTAAGAATCTGGTCTCCAGTGAATTAGTGGATTCCTTCAAAAGAAATGACAGTACTGTAAACAGTCCATTTTAACATCAACATTATAAAGGAGATCACAGAGCTGAATCTAAGCCATTTAAAACAGTAACATCATGCAGACTAAACACAGTGGTAAAAGAAATGAATGCTAGAGCCAGACAGCTGGGCATGGAGGGCGTGGACTCTGGCTCAGCTACTTACTACGTGTGTGCACGTGCACACACACACATCCAACAGTATCTGGCACAGAGTAAGCACTGTTCAAGAAACATCTAGTACTAATTATTGCTTCATCAGTGCTTCATGCTCAACTAACCAGTTTTCTGAAGTTTCCTACAAAGTTCAGGACAGAAAAAATGTACTAGAAATGTAGTTATTTTACCAACCTATAAATCATATATATACATGTACACATAATCTTGTAAATACAATATGCTTAGGAAATTTAATCTTTACAGCCTGCTTTTATTTAATAAATACTGGATTAAGACTAAAAAGATTCTCAAATCCAGTTTTCCCAGCAACTAGCTATATGACACTGGTCAAGTGTAACCTCTTTGCAAAGTTTCCTCGACTGTGAAATGAGAACCCAACATATAATTTCTAAGATTCTTTCTAGCTCTGTAAGTCTTGGACTCACTCCTTATTCTGAGAGAACAACAGCAACAACAAAAACTGACTTTTGGCGGAAAGGCACATGTATTACAGAAGCACAGTGTCTGTAACCTCAAGACATGTGCTCAAGAAGGCAGACTGGATCTCCCAGCACAGTTCAAATACCAAAGAGCACGTCTCTGCTGAAATATCCTGGTTTGCTCATATTTACAAACAAAAATGCACTTACTTTTTTCTTCTGCATGTATTTTAGAATTTCTAAAGTCTGCTTAATTTCAGGAATCTGACTTTTTAGCCTGTGAATAAGAAAAAGGTTAGCTTAATATTTCTGCCACCAAGACACAGTCTTACTAGCTTTGCATTTTCTGTTGATATGTTTTGAGGGCAATTTATACATATGAAATCTTTAAGATATTTAATAAATTTTGTTTATTAAAATATCTATCCCAGACATAAATATTTACTAAAATATTTAGATATAATAGCAAATATTTATGGAATGCCTACTGTGTACCAAAGCCCTGTTCTACGTGTCAAACACCACAGAAAATCATATTCCACATAGGTGATTCAGAAGTTCTGCATCTGATTAGAATTGGATTTTAAATAGACTAATTTAAAAATAACATGCATTCAAATATATTCTAAATTGGAAACCACTGGAAACCACCAACTCTGTCAGGCGTGATGAGACTGACTGGACTTAACAGGTAAGTTATATAATAGCTACTAGCCTGGAATAACTGGACATCCACACATAAAAAATTACTCTAGACACAGACTTTACACATTTCACAAAACTTAAGATGAATCATACCTAAATATGTACAATGTAAAACTATAAAGTTTCCAGAAGATAACACATGAGAAAACCTAGATGACCTTGGGTATGGTAAAGACTTTTCAGATGCAACACCAAAGACACAATCCATGAAAGTAATGACATGCTAGACTTTATTAAAATTAACAACTTCTGTTCTGCCAAAGACCCTGTCAAGAGAATAAACAGACAAGGTACAGACTGGAAGAAAATATCTGCAAAAGACACATCTGATAAAGGGCTGGTATCCAAAATACACAAAAAACTCTCAAAACTCAACAATAAAACAGACAACTGGATTTTTCAAATGTACTAAAGACCTTACTTAACAGACCCCTCACTAAAGAAGATACACAGGAGGCAAATAAGCACATGAAAAGATGCTCCAAGGAGACCGAAAGTGGAGTCTTCCCAGCATTTCAAATATCTGCTTAGAAACAGCATGCGATAAAAAGGAACCTTATTAATACACTGGTGTTCTTCACTTCATTACATGAACAGCCACAGGAAAACTAAAGGAAATGTCTTCATTATTCTGACTGTAAATTCTCTGTCATGTGATAATGGAATATGGGATGCTACATATATTATATACTTATATATATGTAAGACTTAAAGAAATGGAACGATATCACATGTTCTTGAGTTGGAAGAATTAATATTGTTAAAATGGCCATACTACCCGATGCAATCTACAGATTTAATGTCATCCCTATCAAAATACCCATGACATTTTCCACAGAACTAGAACAAATAATCCTAAAATTTATACGGAATCAATAAAAACCCAGGATTGCCAAAGAACACTGAAGAAAAAGAATGAAGCAGGAGGAATAACCCTCTCATACTTCAGACAATATTACAGAGCTACAGTAATCAAAACAGCATGGTATTGGCACAAAAATAGACATATGGATCAATGGAACAAAATAGAGAGCCCAGAAATAAATCCAAAGGCCTATGGCCAATTAATCTTCAACAAAGAAGGCAAGAATATACAATGGAGTAAAGACAGTCTCTTCAGCAAGTAATGTTGGGAAAACTGGACAGCTGCATATAAATCAATGAAGTTAGAACACTCCCTCACACCCTATACACAAATAAACTCAAAATGGCTTAAAGACTTAAATATAAAATATGATACCATAAAACTCCTAGAAGAAAACATGGGCAAAACATTCTTTGACATAAATCTTAGCAACGTTCTAGAGCAGTCTACCAGGCAATGGAAATAAGAGCAAAAATAAACAAATGGGACCTAATTAAACTCATAAGCTTTTGCATAGCAAAGGAAACCATAAGCAAAACAACAAACTATGGAATGGAAGAAAATATTTGCAAATGATGCGACTGACAAAGGCTTTATTTCCAGAATATATAAACAGCTCATACAACTTAATAACAAAAAAAAACAACCCAATCCAAAAATGCATAGAAGACCTAAACAAGCATTTCTCCAATGAAGACGTACGAAGGCCAATAAACATATGAAAAAATGCTCAATATCACTAATTATCAGAGAAATGCAAATTAAAACTACAAGGTATCACCTCACCCCAGTCAGGATGGCCATCATTCAAAAGTCTAGAAATGATAAACCCTAGAGAGGGTGTGGAGAAAAAGGAATCTTCCTACACTGTTGGTGGGAATGTAGTTTGGTGCAGCCATTATGGAAAACAGTATGGAGATTCCTCAAAAAACTAAAAACAGACTTACCATATGATCCGGCAATCCCACCTCTGGGTATATACCCAGAGGGAACTCTAATTTGAAAAGATACATGCACCCCAATGTTCATGGCAGCATTATATACAACAGCCAAGACATGGAAACAACCTAAATGTCCATCGACAGATGACTGGATAAAGAAGATGTGGTATACTTATACAATGGAATACTACTCAGCCATTAAAAGAAAATAATGCCATTTGCAGCAACATGGATGGACCTAGAGACCATTATTCTAAGTGAAGTAAACCAGAAAGAGAAAGAGAAACACCATATGATATCACTCATATGTGGAATCTGAAAAAAAAAAAGGACATTATGAATTCATCTACAAAACAGAAAGACTTACAGACTTAGTAAATAATCTTAAGGTTACTGGGGAAAGGGCATGGGAGGGGATAAATTTGGGAGTTTGAGATTTACAAATGTTAGCCATTATTTATAAAAATAGATTTTAAAAATGTTTCTTTTGTATAGCACATGGAACTATGTTCAATATCTTATAATAAACATTAATGGAAAAAATATGAAAATGAATCTATGTATGTATATGCATGACTGGGACATTGTGCTATACACCAGAGATTGACACATTGTAACTGAGTGTACTTCAATTAAAAAAAAAATGAGTTATCAAGCCATTAAAAGACATGGAGGAAACTTCAATGCATATTACTAAGTGAAAGAAGCCAATCCGAAAAGGCTACGTACGATATGATTCCAAGTATAAGACATTCTGGAAAAGACAAAACTATGGAGACAGTAAAAGGATCAGCGGTTGTCAGGTTAGGGGGAAGGGAGGGATGAATACGTGGAGCACAGAGAATTGTTAGGTCAGTGAAACTACTCTGTTTGATACTGTAATAGTCGACACATGATATCGTCCATTTGTCCAAACCCGCAGAATGCATAACACCCAGAGTGAACACTAATGTAAACTACGGACTTTAGTTAATAATAACACATCAATATCGGCCCATCAACTGTAACAAATGCCCCACTCTGGTGGAGGGTGTTGGTAACGGGGGAGGCTGTGCATGTGTGGGGGCTGGAGGTAGGTGGGAAATCTATGTACCTTCTGCTCAACTTTGCTATGAAACTAAAACTTCCCTAAAAATAAAGCCTATTAGAAATAATTTTTTAAAAACTACTAGCAACTGATTCTCAAATGAAATGAATCTCACTGACAAGAAAATAAAGAGATAAAATATGCTGAAAACACTCAGAGAGGAAAGAATAAAACTTTTAAGCTTTTTTTTTGACAATTAGAAGCTACCCAAGGCTTTAACGTGTTCTGCGTGGAAAAAAGTGCAAAATAGTTCTGGGGTTCCTGTCAAATCACAATGTAATTTGTAACAAAACAGACTAAGGATACAAAAAGAAAGGTGTGGTTCTTTAAGAATACATTTAACTAAGTATTATTGGAGATCAGCATGTAAACAAAGTTTAAATATGATAATGAAAATATACTTACTGAATCATATAAAGGAAGTCACAGCACGTGTGAAAGAGGCTGGCATGGCAAACTTTGTTACACCCTGTGCTACTGACTTGGCAAGAAATGTGTTAGATGAGCCTGATGCTTAAAAAAAATAGTATCACTATCTAGTAAAATAGCCTAATGAATAATCTAGAAACACACATTTAGCATTGATTTTTTTAACTTAGTTTGAAGGCTAATGTTCTATGAACTCTTTACAATTCAACATAGATGCTGTAGATCTCTCCATTCTGCTTATTTTTGTATATGCTGATATAGGTAAATGCTACAAAGATGTACATTTATTCATTTGTAAAATATCTGATACACATACAACATAAGTATGTTCAAATCAAGTTTTTTTGGTCATGTAAATGATTTCTATGATATATTTTTACACGTATCACATGTAATAGATAAGCTAGGAAGCATATCAATGAATCAAGCAGCTAAATCCCATTCGACTTAGGAACCACATCACCAAGGCCACTATGCATGTCTGAGAAATACACCCCTCCCCACCATGCTCTGTCCCAAAAGACAGCAGCTCTCCAGAACTGTGTGTTTACAGTCCCTTTTTTACCTTTTCAAATACTTCATCACATCTATGTGTATCCCTAAACAATTTATTCTTTGCGGGTTTCTCAGCTTAATACAAGCAGTCTCTTGTACATGTTTTTCTGGGGTTTGCTTTATAACTCAATTAGGTTCCTAAGATTTGTTCATTTATTTTCACTGCTGTGTAACATCCAATTACAAACATAACACAACTTGTTTTTCCACTGTCCTGTCAATGGACACTTGGTTTAGTTCTAGGTCTTTGTTATTATATGAACAATGGAAATCTCTAGGTCCTGGGAGTGCAAAGGGCAGTGAGAGGGGAGGCAGCAGCTTAGAAGTGAAGTGGATCAAGTCCTCAAAAGGGGAGTTTAAGGTTAAAAGGAAACTTTCCAGGTGTTATTCCTCCCCGTAAAATGCCCTGTGTGAATTGCATTACCTACCCTATCACTGCTAAAGGGCAGAAAGCCAGTAGAACTGGCCAGAGTCAGGGAGAAGGTAAGGCTGAGGAGCTGAGAAGACAAGTTCCCAGCAGTTCCTCTCTCTCCACTTCCACTCCTAGGGGAGATGATAAAGACAGAGAAACAGAAAGAATCTCCCAGAGGCCAAGTTGTCTGGCTGGGGAGAAGGAGCATTTGTTCAATGGCTGTGCCACAGACTGAATAGCAGCAGCATTCTTCCTAACCCTACCCACAGGAAGGGACTTAAATTATTCCCACTCCCACATACATTACTGGCCAAAGTAACTTGATATCCCTGAGCTGACAGGCACAATAATCTGATCAACTCAACTACAAAATTAAATAAAGACAATAAACTCAACAACTTCTACAAGATGAAACAAAATTAAATAGTAAAAGATTATACAAAAAAAGATTATACACACAACATTGTAAACTGACTATACTACAATAAGAAAAGAGAAATGGAAAAAAGATTATACAGTGAGTATTAAAAATACCTCTAAGAGAAAAGAGGATATTGGTAATCTGAAGAAAAAACAAGTAGCTGTAAGAAGAGCCAACCAAAAATGATGTAGAGATCCCAGGAACTGTAAGATAACTGAAAGATGGCAGCTTATTAATAAATAAAAAATACATAACTAAATTAGAATATCATCATTCTGCAACTCATAATTAATGGATCTAGGCATTGAGTATCATAGTAAGAGACAATTAGATACTATCTGCGTCTTAATGGAAAAACAATACACAAATCTATGAAGCAGTGTTGCCAAAAACAAAAGAAAGAAAAGAAAACCTATGACCAAGACTACAGATCAAATTATCACTTTACTGTAAACAGAAAGTACAAAGACACGTGCCTGAAAACCCACAACTGCTTTGAAATTTAGCAACACACTTCTGAATAATCCAGATTATAGATCTAAATGTGAAACAAAAAACAATAAAGCTTTGAGAATACAATGTTAAGAAATATCTTCATGAACATGGTATATTTCTTAAACATGATAAAAAAGTACTAACCATTAAGGAAAAAGATTGTTAAATCAGATTATATTAAAATTAAATGGTGCTGGGTCAAACAGCATGTCCACAGTGTATCCATTAAAAAAAAGGAAGAAATTGGAAGCCTACCATACACCATACATAAAAATAAATTTCTGATGGATTAAGAAGTTAGATGCGAAAAGGAAAATTTTAAGACTTTTAGAAGAAAACAAAGGTTTTGTCTTTTTGAACATGAAATACAAAATTGGCTTTCTTAAGCAATACACAAAAAGCACTATGAAGAGAAATTTTGACTGAAAACATTTAAATTAAGAACTACTTATCAACAGAAACCATAACAGGGGGAGGCTATAGCTCAACTGGCAGAGCATGTGCTTAGTGTGCATGAAGTCCTGGGTTCAATCCCCAGTACCTCCTCTAAAAATAAATAAATGTAATTACCTCCCCTCCCCAGGCCAAAATAAAATAAATAATACAATAATGAACAAATAAAAAATATAAAAAAGAAATCATAAGGAAAAAAGACAAATTACAAAAGAAAAATTTCTCACACATATAATCTAAATGCATTAGTGTCCAATATATAAAGAATTCCTACAAATAAAAAGACAACCAAGCCACTATTAAAATGGATAAAATTCTTCAAAAATGTTTTTTGTATTCACTGCGTCCAATTTTATCATTCTTTTCTGAATCACTGGACCAACACTGTTCCCATTCAGAATATCAATGTCTTCCACTTAACTAAGTCCAAGTCCATTCTCAGCCCTTATCCCACTTGGGCGAGCCATCAGCATCATCAGACAGGGGTGATCATTCCCTCCTCCAGGACATATATTTTTTTAGCTGGGTTTCCAGAAACCCATGATCTCCTGGCTTTCCTGACCTCACTGAAAGCTTCTTTTCAGTCTTTTTTGGTAGTTATTCCTCTTCTTCCTGTCGCAATGCCTAGATCTTTGATCTTCTCTCTTGATAATGAAGCTCACTTCAGTCCTCTGACTTTAAATGACTTCCAAATTTTTATCTCCAGCCCAGATTGCTCCCAAAATTCAGACTCATATATTTAATCACCTACTTACATCTCCACCTGGATGCCCAAAAGGCATCTTAAATGTGTCCAGAATTGAACTGCTCCTGATCTTCCCCCAAACCTGCTCCACCCAGTCTTCTCAGGTGATGGTAACTCTCCTTCCCAGTTGCTCAGACCTGGGAGCCATCCTACATGCCTCAGTACGAGAGTTAGCAATTTAAGTCTATACAGAGATTCTCTCCTCTTCCCCAGGGCTTGGTTCTGAGGTGCATTTTCTCCTCTAACTATAACTTCCCTACAAGTGATCTCAAATTTGATGGCTTTAGTCGTCTTTTTCAAATAAAAATAAACTTTTATTATAAAAGCAGCACATGTACACTACAGAAAATTAAGAATACAGATAAGCAAAATAAGAAAAATGCCATATTCCCACCACCCAAAGATGACCACTGTTAATGCAACACTATTGTCAATTCTTCCAGGTATGTCTATGCACATACACATTTTTTCCCCCAAAATGAAAGCATACTGTTTATAGCATTTTCTATTCTTTCTTCCATTAACACTCTTCATCTGTCCATGTCAATGACTTTTCATATCATCTAATACCAAGCCCTTATTCAAATTTCCTCAATTGTCACCAAAATCAAAGAAGAAAATGTATCTAAAAACAAACTTTTGTATCTTTGCACAAGTGTTACCCTCATACCCAGACTACCCTTCCTTACTTTAGTCTGCCTCCAAACTCACAACCAGCCTTCAGAATTCTACACAGCCGCCTGCTCCTCTTGGAGTTCTTTGTCTGCCTGCTTCAGATCATACCTTCCCCTGTATTAACTCATTATTTTGTACTACAGTGTCTTGACTGCTACACTTTGTGAACCTAACTTATTTACAAACCTATCATGCCCCTAGATTATGTCCCTGTGTAGATACTGGAACTTATTTCACTCAAAACAGTATCTGGCACCTATTAGGAATTCCATAAATATTTAACTGACAGAAGAATGCTGGCACACGTGCATAGCAGACAGATAATCATAAGTAATTATTACTGGGAACTGATTTCATAAGCTACTATAAAAATACAGGGGAATAAAGGATTGAAAGCAAGGATACTTTTATTCTATGCCCATTAGTTACGAAGTTTTGGGAAAGTCATATCCTCTGTGGGTCTCTCATCTCAACAGCAAAATGAGAAGGATGAAGTGGACACCTAAGATGTTATGATCTTAGATGCTCTGGAATAAGTACTTCAATATTCATCTATTATGTTTCTAAACCATATTTAGACTGACAATACCAAGTGCTGACAAGGATGAGGAACAACTCAAAACTCCCATACACTGCTGGTGGGAGTGTAATATGCAATAGCAACTTTGGAGGATGTCTGGCACTTTCTCATAAAATTAAACATACACTTACCATGTAAGTCAGCAATTCCACCCCTAGGTAACTTCCAGGAGAAATGAAAACAAACGTCCACACAAAGACTTAAAATCAAATGGAGAAACAATCCAAACGTCCATCAACAGGCAAAGAGATAAAAATAGACAAAAATTGTGGTACATCCACAACAACAGAAAATGACTCAGTACTAAAAAGAAACTAATTTACTGCTACAACACCTTGGATGACTCTCAAAAGTATTATACTAAGTGTAATAAGCCTGACATAAAACAGTAGTTACTATATGTTCCATTTATATGAAGTTTAAGAACAGAGAAAACTAACCTATGATGAAAATAATCACAAAAGTGGTCATCTCTGGGACTGGGCAGGGTTGGCTGGAAAGGGGTGGGAGGAAATTCCTGGGGTAATAGAAATGTTCTATGTATTGGTCTGGGCAATGGTTAAAAAGTAGATACATTTATCGAAATTAACCAAACTAAACATTCAACAAACAGATATTTTATTTGTATGCAAACTGTCTCAATCTTTCAAAAGTTTAAGCTATAAAAGATTACTCTTTAAAACTTGGAAATTTTCACTCTTACCTCCTTTTCTTTTGAGCAAGGTTGAGTTCCATAAACTTATACTTCTGGTACTGTTCATCCAGCTTCTTTAGTACTGTATCTGCAGTCTCATTCCCAGGCTGTTTCATAAAGGAATCTACATCTTCCTTTAGCATCAGAAAGAATACATTACAAACCTTAGAATTCATACCTCTAATCAGATTTTTGATTGCTTTAGCTTTATTTTTAAAACATAAAGGAAAAAGAGCTTGTGTTTCTTTTTCTCTAAAGGCTTGTAAAAAAGTAGTTATAAAAGTTAGGGACCATTTCACAGTGCACATACACTATGTAGCTAATTTATTCTTCCTCAATCTTCCTCTTTTTACTTACACATGGGGAAAGATGACCTTGTCTACTTCATGCATCCTCCATGCAGCACTAGTAGCAAATATGAAAATTACCAACAGTCAAACACATTGCCCAGTCATGTGCCCTACCCACAAAATGATTCAACGGGTTGCCTGCCAAAATTATCAATTTTATCACTTAAAATTTTAATTCAAGTTCTGCCACAGAAATCAAGCTAAACATGGTCAGTAGGTTCCTAAAACAAGCCACAAATGCTTCCTTAAGTATCAAGTGGTTGAAATAAAGCAAACCTAAAAGGCAAACAGAACAATCTTTTGTAACAGGAATAATTAACCAAAAGACAAGCAGTAAAACCCAACAGCATTTTTTAAAAATGCAAACTACACAGGCTGGTCCTTGAAGAAAAGCTAGTTACTTAGATAAGGATCAGGTACTAAGTGAAAATATATGGAAGTTTTAAGGAGATTTTATAAGGGCTTTCCAGTAGTTTAAAGAACTGTAGTCCTTCACTGCAAGTATCTTACAGTTCCTGCGATTGCTACATCAGTGTTCTCATCCATGCTTACTAGCTATAAGGGAGCATTTTAACCAAAACAAGGCAAGAGGAAAAAGGAAGAGAATCACAGCAAGGGAGTGCACTAGTAAGTGCTCAGCAAACATCAGCTGTGTCTATACAACGTGCTAAGGGAACAGATGGAAGTGCCAAGAATGCCGTCCTGGGGTGGCAGTCAGGGAAAACTACAGGGAGGTCATATCTGAACTACATGTTGAGATGAAGAGGTCAACAAAGGGACAAAGGGGAAAGGGACAATTTAAGCAGAGAAAGAAATTACTGCACCAATGGAAATGGGGAAAAGGCACAGTCTGGTTTCTAGCTAATATGGTATACTGTCTCCTCTCACCACATACAGTAATACATATTAAGCATCTACCTGCAATACTGAAAGGACATTTTCTGTTTCTCTTGGCAACTCTAAGTATTGCCACCCCTATTTCAGTTAAAGAAATGGAGGCTCGAAGCTGTAAATTAATATGCTCAAGACTAAGCGGCAAGTGGGAAGTAGAGGCAGGATTCAAACCTTGGGCTACTTAGAAACCAATGTTCTTTCTACAGTATTATGCTATTTACAATTGCTTGGGAACATAAAAATATTTATGCAAAATTTGGATTATTATATTAGATTGGTAGAAATTTTAAGGTCTAAAAAAATAACCCATAACATTTTAGGGAAAAATGTATTTTAAGATAAGACTTTATTAAGCCTTCAGATCAAGTCTATCCTCCTGAATTAGATTTATGAAGCCATCTCTCCGTGAGCACCGTGAATGTAGTATTTCAAGGCACTATGGAAACTCAATTCGACATCTGGTCATGAGCTTATACTGTGTGTTAGGTACTGTGCGGGACCAGGAGAAATGACACTGAGCAAGATAACGATCTCACTTTCCTCCCAGAGGCAGAGCATGACATGTAAGTAGAGGCGATGGAGCTCCAGACTGCCGAATTCAAATCCTGGGTAACTCTCACCCTGCGTGACTCGGGGCAAGTTACTCAAGGGCTCTGTGGTTCACTTTCATCATTTACAAAATGAGAGTAACAGTACCTGCCTCCTAGGGTTTTGTAAAAGCATTAGGAAAGTGACCTGTATTCAAGACATTTTATCTGTTAAGTTGGGAGATGAGTGTAAAGAAACAAATGGCACAGCTCAGGGAGAAGTATAGAAAATCCTATAAAACTGAATCAGCAAATGTAAATATACAGAGTATACATAAAAGTGGTCTAAATAAAAGAATAAATAAAATAAATGGGTCTTTTGAAGGGTGTAAGACATGATTAACAAAAAGGCAGAAATAAGGCAATATAGATTAAGAAAATTCCCTTAAGATTTTGTATCAGTTCAGCCAGAAATGAGTAGGGAAAGATAGGTGACACCGGGCTGGAAGGTCAGTCACGTTTTCTCTCATTATTCAAATAGTTTTCAAATACTATTTCGAGAATAGCGTTATGGAAGTCTGGGTTGAAACCAACTACTTGCTTCTCTCTGGACTTAGGTTCGTCTCCCTGTTCTGTGACGATTCCAAATTGCATTCGTCGCTTCCTTTCTGAACTCCACACGATTTATTCTCTACTAAGTTGTTAGGACAATGTTATCTAAAAGCAAATATGATTATACAGTGGCTTTATCTAGACACCTTCCGTTGCCTACTGGATAAAACCTCAGTTCCTCAGCAGGACACACAAGGGCTTCACGTTCTCACCCTCTCCGACTTCCCCAGCAGTCCCTTCCTCCATTCTTCAAAGGAAGGAACCACTGCAGTCCTTCCCCAGACTAGGTATCACTTCCTATCTTCACACCTTAGCACCAGCTCTTCTGCCTTCTCATTGTACCCTAAGTCACCACTCACACATCGGCCTCTCCAGAACCTAGGCCGGGACTCAAGCTTCTCACCGCCTCCCGTTCTCCAGGAAGCAGGGGACGAAATCCAGCTTGGGGATGGGGATGGGGGTGGGGGTTGAGGGTGGGGGTAGGGTGGGGGTGGGGTGGCGGTGGGGGTAGGGTGGGGGCGGTCCCGAAGACCACCCCGCCCCTGCTCCCGAGCCCTCCGGCCCTGCACTCCCTTATCTTCTGGAGCCTTTTCGCACCGCGTTCCCGCCGAGCGGGTCGCAACAGGGCTCAGTCCGTCCAGGCGCGGAGGGGGAGAGCGGACGGAGTGCTCTCTCCCAAGTCCTTTAGCTGAACTCGTTCCCACAACAACCGAGGCCAGGGTGGGGACCAGGAAGGAAGGGGTACCCCACAGAACAGCGTCAAGATACCGAGGAGCAGAGTAGCCCTTACCACAAAAACGGCCTCAGGAATTCCTAGGTGGAGTCGCCGCCCGTTCCCTGCGGCCACGTCTTCCGAAGCACAACCGTCCTTAGCGGCCGCCATCTTGGGGAAGCGAGCGCGCGACTAGCTCCCTCTCGAGCGGCCAGTCACCGGGGGCCTGTGATTGGCTCGCTCACAACTTCAGGCCCGCCCCTCGCTTGTGAGGCTGCGCATTCATTGGCGCACAGGAAGTAGCTGCCCTTTCCCCCTCGGCCGAGTCGCCCAACCAATGGGTGCCGTTTGACTGCGCGCAGGTGAATGACAAGCGTGGAAGAGCCGCGGAGGCGAATCTAACGCTGCAGGAAGGACCAATAGAGTCTCCTGGGAGAAGGGGTTCCGGGGATTTTTGTGGGTGGACGGGCTGGAGGCCTCTGGCTGTCTGGGACCTAGCCAGAACGGACCCCACTGCCACCTCAGACAGGCGGCACTCTCCAGAATAGCCTTTGAAGCGACCCGATCTCTTCTCTGATACAAGCAAATACAGAGCCTAGATGCCACCATCGAGCTTGAGCCTCAGTGTCTTTCTGGTCATACCATCTTGACAAGCTTCCAGGCCCTTGAAGAGGACTTGTTTTGTGCCTGCTTCCCAGTGTAGCCAGTGGCCGGATTCTAATAAATACCCCTCCCATTGCATCAAACTTTACCGAAAGCCACCTTTGATTAGACACTCACCACCCCAGCTCAAACGTTTTCAAAACCTTACAGTCTACATGCAAAATCCCAAGATCTCTTACGAGGCTTCTAGGCCCAAGAACTTCACCATTTTGAAAGCCAAGTGCATTATACAGACCCAAGTAATTATTCTTCGATCTGTTTTTTGACACCTAACCACCGTATTTGTTCCTGCCTTGGCTGTTCTGGAGTACATCGCAGCGAAGCAGTGCTTCATTCACTCACTGAAAGCCTACCATGAGCCAGGCCCTCTATGAATAAAGGATAAATGTCAGTTCCCTTACTTAGTGGGTATATATATATATATATATATATAAAATAGTGATTAACATTTATTAAAAACGAACTATGTCCAAATCACTGAGTCATGTTATTTAAACCCCACTGCCCAGTGTGAGGACTGCTATCACCCCTAACTTGCAGACCAGTAAAGGAACTATTGTAAAAATGAATGATTGGTAACATAATAGACTAAATGTTATAAAAGGAACACAGGTGAAGACACTAAGTCGTATTTTAAAATGAGAATAACAGCGTGTACCAACAACACTGTTGTAAAGGTTAAATGAGATTTTGTAATGTAGAATACCTAATAAGTACTTGTCACACAATAGGACTGAAGTAGTGAGGAAACTAGGCAGGGCTGGAGAAGTGGGAAGAGGGAGGCAGGCGGATTGGAGAGAGGGGCGGGACGGGAGGGAGGGAAGTGGTAAAGGACTGGGTAGGGGGAGGGTTTGGAGGACTGGAAAGAGGGTAGGATTAGAGGACAGGAAGGGGTGGGAGCTGGAAGACTGGACCTAGGGGTGGGGCTGAAGAACTGTTGATAAGGGCAGGGCTAGTAGACTGAGAAGAGGGAAGGGGTTGGAGGGGTGGGGAAATGGGTGGTGCCTAAGGAGTTAAGAAATGGAGCAGGTCAGTAGGACTAGAGGGTGGAGAGGCTGAGGACTGGAGACAGTGGCAAGGCTGAGTCCTGGTAACGGGCGGTGGTAGAGGACAGTGGGAGCTTCTATAGTGTAGTAGCAAAACCTTAGAATATGAAATTGAACAATACCATTATATTAGAATTTAAAAACATAAAATACTTGATAGTTATATAATGCAAAATGCTAGTTACTATTAAAAACCACAAATCAATGGAAAAGAAATTAAGAATGCCTGAATAAGTAGAGTGTTATACAGTGCTCATGATTTGGAAGTGGTGATATTGTTAAGAATGTCTATACTTCTGTTTTCTCCAAATGTAACTATAGATTCAGTGTAGTCCTAATCATCATGATCTTGGACCTTTTTTAAATAGAATTGATCAGCTGATTATAATATTTTATGTTCTTCAAAGAGAACCTGAATACCTGAAACAATCTTGAAAAATATGAATGAACATGGAAGACTGATTTTGAGACCTACAGAAAACTCTTCTAATCAAGTGTGTGTTTGGATCAATAGAACAAAACAAAGTAAAAAAGTAGATCCATAAATATGTTGTCAATTGGTTTTTGAGAAATTTACCAAGACAACCCAAGGGGAAAGGAATTTGCTTTTCCCAAATGTTGCAAGAACAACTGGATAACTACAGGTAGAGGTAGAGATTTACTTTTTACTACCTGTCACCAAACATGAAAATGTATTTTAGATGGATCATATATCTAAGCATAAAAGCTAAAACTATAGAGCTTCTAGAAGAGAACTGGAGGATATATATCTTCATGGTATTGAGATAATCGAATATTTCTGAACACATAATAAGCATTAATCATAAAAGAAAAGCTTGATAAATTGGACTTAAAAATTAGAAAACACCTATTCATCAAATGATATTACAAATGTGAAAAGGCATGTCACAGACTGGGAGAAATTACTTGCACAATATATCTAACAAAGAATTAATATTGAGAATATACACAAAACTACAAATCAATAACAAAAAACAAAGAAAAATATTAAAATGAACAAAATAGTTGGACACTTCACACACACAAAGGTTGGAATGACCAGTACGTATATGAAAAGTTACTTAGTCATTAAGGAAAGGTAAAATAAACCACTATGTTATATTACTTACAGACCCACTAGAATGGCCAAAATTTAAAATACTGATGGCAGTAATTTGAGGCCAGAATTTGGAGCACCTAGAATTATCATACACTGCTGTTGGAATAAAGTGATACAGTCATTTTTGGACAACTTTTAGCACTTTTAATTTTACATAAACACATACTCTATGACCCAGCCATTCTACTCCTACATATTTACCCAAGAGATAGATCCACATTTGTCCACAAAAAGACTCATACAGGAATGTTTATAGAGTTTATGTGTGTATCCATTTAAAATTTAGTTTAAAAATAATGAGTATGAAAAATATATTTTCAGATAAACAAAAACTGAGTTTATCACCAGCGTAAGTACCCTAAATAAACTTTTAAAAGATGTACTTCAGGAAGAGGGAAATTATTACAATGCAAGAAGGGATGGTAAACAGAGAATTTGTGAACACTGGTAAATCTAAACAAAAATGTTTCTATATAAATACTAACACTTCTAATCTGAGGGGCTAACAAAATAGGACAGGGCTAAAATACTGGACCATCATAATATGTGAGTTGGGAGAGAATGCCCTTGTAGTTTAAAAGTGTTCTAAGGTCCTTGTGTTATTTGGGAGGGGAGATTAAGATATTAACTTTACTTTTTGATAATTTTGAAGTTTTTGGTAAAATTTCAAGGATAATTAGTAAAACAAGAGAAAGACTGCATCACCTCAAAAACATTGAATTGAAGAATCTCAAGAGTATTGAATGTCCAAATGAATGTTTATTTTACTTGGAGGATGGGGGTGATTCTGTTCAGGCTGTGGAGAGATCATCATTTGTTTTCACATCTGATTCTGAATCTTTTTGCTTTGGTACTTCTACATGGAATTTTGCCTGCATGAAAGGAAGACAGATATGTAAATCTTTCATTATTTATATGTCTTTTTTCTTGTGGTTATAAAATAAATGACAAGTATTTTTACACAAAACTCTGGTCAGTCTTCTTATTATCTAATACTTGAAGCTTTGTCAGACCTGCTGAAACAGACATTCAGGAACCAGGGGACCCAACACACTGGCTGAAGATTGAAGGCAGAAACCTTGTAAAGATACTCTCCATATTATAACTGACAGCTTACACTTCTAGGCTCAAGATGTTTTCTCTGCCTCTAGCTCTAAAGTTCTACCATCTATACATCTACTAGTTGAAATCCTCCTTACCATTTGATATTCAGTGCCCTGGCATTCAACTTAGGTATCACTTCTCTGGAAAGCTGTCCCTGAAACCTCCAGTCTGAGCTACCCACCTCTTCCAGCACTGATCACAGTTGTGTTTGTTGAATGAATAAATGAAACTATTGCTGAATAGGTCTCAGAACCCAGCTGAGGTTTGACAACATCAGTTTCTATAGGACAAGGTCTGTATATTCTGTGTCTTTTTACAATGCTGAAACTGCTAGAATTAGTTTTTCTTCTGTGAGAGACTAACAGTGCACAAAATATTGTAAAACTCTGTTCTAACACTGGTCTTGCCTCCAATGACTGCAAATCTCTACCAAGGCCCTAAGGAACAACAGCTCAAACATACCTTATCTCTTGTGGGTGGAGTGAAAGGATTGCTGGTCCTTAAGCCCGGCTGGGTATAAATCATGGGTTGACGTGCCATTAGGGAAGGAGCTCCCAATGGAGTTGGAAGCTATGAATTCAAATGGAAAAGAAAACAAAGTGAAAAATTAATTAGTCTGTGATTGCTGTCCTAAAACAATAGTACCAAGAGGACAAGTAACCCCTCTAGAGCAGATATTACATTTCAAGAATGTCAACTGAAAGGAAATGTCAGTTACAAAAAGAGAAAGCCTCCATCCCTAAACCTGAGAAACTGGCACTGAAGAAGCTGTTGAAGAAACCTCCAAAGTAAAAAAGAAAGGAAAACCATAGCTTGATGAAAACAGATACACGTTCCACCTCTGCTGGATTTTGAACAAGTTGAGACATAAGTCAAAACAAGAGCAGATGGCCTTAAATCACTGAATCTATATAACTAGATGTTCTACTGTCCCCTCCTTCAGACCAGAATACACTTCAGAAATATTTACAAAGAGATGGAATGTGACCAGGCCCTCTGCACCTCCTGCGGCCGTCAGAGTCCACACACTCCGGGTCGTATTTGCTAAAGTTTCAGTGGGCCTGCTGTTTTCCAAAGACTAGCATGTTCAGTTTTGATTCTAGAAAAACAGTTTTTTGGTGGGCTATTTAAAGCTTCCTGATCAGGACACAATAGATAAAAGCCAGCGCCACTCCTGTGAAAAACAGGCACAAGAAACAATAGAAGCCTTTGCAAACAGCTAAAATAAAAATGTCCCACTTGTTAAACCACTACAAAAACATTAGGGCCTTGCCAGGAGTCCCAGTCTTTTATTTTTCTCCAGGGGCATTCCTTGCTTAATTTTACTGGTCAAGACAGCGGCTGCTGGGGCTTGAGGGGGCCCAGTAAATCGCAAAACTTATCCCACAGGAATTCTGAACTAATTGAGATAAAGAACATGGAATAAGATAGACCAAAAATGAAATATCCCCTTTATCACTGAATGGCTAGATTGGCATATGGTGCTCAGGTGTGCAGACAGACATGATATGCTTCCCTGTTCAGAATCCCAGAATTGGATGTACAGACCTAAGGCAGTGCTAAAAAACCAGTCTTTCTAAAGGGACAGGACTGGCAGAGCAGATCATTAGGGATACTTCTGATAGGAAGCTGACTCCCAAGAAGAAAAAAAAAGGCAGATAGGCACAAACTTTTGACTTCATTCCAGATAGAGGCCAAATTGAGGAATGGATCTTCAGGGTTGCTTGTCAAGCCAGCCTTGTACTGATTTCAGAATGAGGTAGACCTACTCAGCAAGGTACAGACCAGGCTGGACCAGTGAAGCCCACCTTGACAAGGCAAAGCTCCCACACAAATGACCACCTGGAGGGGTGGAGGGGACTCTGCTCTGTGCAGCAGGCTGGCTCTAGACCGGAGGCTGTAGGCCAATCATTATTCTTCCCACATTAATAATCAGGCAAAACACAGCCCCCTCCCCCACTTCAGGAAGAGTGGGTAAAGGAGGGAGCCTAAGAACACACTCAGGGAGCACTTGTCCACATGAAAGCTAGGAGTGGGGAAAATGTGGTTCTAATACAAAGCAATTAGAGAAAGATCAGAAAGGGCAGTAACTGTGGACATTGTTCATTGTAGATTCAAATAAAGACATATTAAGGAAATTTTAAATTTCAAAAAAAAGCTATGTTTTAGAAAAGAAGATGTCTGGGGGGAAAAAAGGAGAAAATAATCAGCCTGTCCCTAGGCTATTCTTTCATTATTTTACATTCTTACCTATTATATTTTAAAACTATTTATTTTTGTTTTCTTTCAGCCAAAACTCATAAAAATATGTGCATTCAAAAAAAATCTCCAAAGAAGAAAAAGGAAAAGATGACCCAGAGCCACATAAAGTGGAAGGAGTATGATAATTTGGAGGTCACTTGTGACTGAGATAAGAACAATGAGGGCAGGCAGAATCCTTACTGGAATAGGTTCAGGAGAGAACAAGAGGGAAAAATACAACAAAGTAGTGAATATAACAAAAAGGAAGCATACTCACAGAATGCAGAAATGGCTACCAGTGGGGAGAGGGAATGGGGAGGGACAAGTTAGAGGTAGAGGAGCAAGAGGTACAAACTATTAGGTATAAAATAAGCTACAAGGATATAGTGGACAACACAGGGAATATAGCCAGTATTTTATAATAACTGTAAATGGAGTATAACCTTTAAAAATTGTGAATCACCACATTGTACACCTGTAACTTGTATACTATTGTACATCAACTATATTTCAATAAAAAATTCAAAAAAAGAGAGAATGAGAGGGAAAGAAATAGTGGCATAGCATACAGATAACTCTTTTAGGGAATTTTTCAGTAGCATATTCAAGTATGAAATAGCACTGAGCCATTATAATGGACCAATCTAAACAGATCTCAAAAACCTAAGTACAAAATAATGCCAATTATAATCAATTTTTAAGAATCATGTAGAATAGTACTACATGTTTTTCTTTAGTAAAAGTATGAAAATGTTCTGGAAGGCCATACATAAAATTCATCATTGTCATTGTCTCTGGAGAGTTCGAGGGCGACTGAGACAAGGGGTGTGCCAAAGAGCCTTTAGTTTTATTTGTAAAATTTCATTTAAAAGTGATCTAGAAAAAACTATGACAAAATGTTAATATTTAGTAATTCACAGTGCTGAAGCATGAATGTTTGTTTTCCTCTATAGTTTCTTGCATTTTTATTTTTATTTTTTCCTGTATTTTTAACATTTTTCCAAATTGACATCAACAAAAATATGAGTGAACTGGTGGCGAGGCTGTGTGGACTGAACAACTTTAGAGTTCCCGTTACTTGTATTATAGCACATGAGATTTATGTAATGCACTGAACCTATAAAAAGGGAACTGGTGATCTCAATCAATTTTTAACTAAGTAAAGAAAATTTTTAAATCATGAAAACATTGCTAATAGGCAGAACAGAAATAACAAACTAAAAATGAGTTAGAAGAAGGTTGGATAAAAAGCCAGAAAAAATCCAGATAGAATTCTACCTGTCTAAATTCTCCCATTGGAAGTCTTGAACAATAAGAACAAATTCAGCCTTATTAAATTCCACTAAATTATACTTGAATCTCTATTATGTATATATTGATTATTCCCATTTTGGATTCTCTATTAATTCTGGAACAGCTTTCCCTTAACTAGTCCACTTCTACAATCTCTCCTCCTTCCATTTAAAATTATCCCTATCATGTTTTTTATCTGTTAGTGCAAATCATGGGGAGTTTTAACTTTATCTCCCACTCTTTATATCATAAAACTGGTTTTTATTACCATTCTATACATAGGCACTTGCTGTGAAGTCACTGGATAGGCCATTGGAGGTGGAACCTTGAAGAAAAGTGTCAATTACTATATAGTACATTTTTGACTAGTATTTAATAAGAGATATCATAAGATACAGAATACTTTCTGCTATGTATTTAACATTGAGAACAAACATAGTGAACCATTTACAGTGGGTACAGTGATCTTTCCTGGAACATGACAGATTTAGGAGGTTAAGGACTTCCAATTACTGCTATGTTGCTTTGGAAGCCATAGCAGAGTTCACAGTAGCTCATGTTCCCTGAAGAGTGGGAATGGGCAAAAAATGAAGATATTTTGGCTTTTATCACAACAGATGGAAAGAAGTAATATATTTAGTGCTACTGATGTAACATCAAATTATGCTGCCTCTCAACCCTGATTTAGTCTCCTTGACTATACTAGTCATAACTTTAATCCTTGCCTTAATCTCTTTGTTTATTACTAGGTAATACAACATAAGAGACAAGTCTTTGACTTTAGACTTTGACCCCAGAGTGCTAGTGCTTGGCCACAAGGACCTGAACAAAGAGGCAGAAACACATCTTTAATACAAATGTTTCTGATCTTTCCAAAGTATTCTTCTCCTCTAGCTCCTAATTACACTATTAAAAAATTCTTCATTCTGATATATATCATCTGAGCCAAAATTGGTAACTGGATCATGAATAATTTCTATCCTTGTTGTTTGTGCCCTATTACTGGCACTTACCATTAAGCCCTGCTATTCAAAGTCTGATCATTGGACCAGAAGTATCAATATAAGCTGGGAACTTGCCAGAAATGCAAAGTCTCAATCTCCATCCCAGACCTGCTGCATTTTAGCAACTCCCCCAGGTGAGTCAGATGCACATGAAAGCACAAGAATAAGAAAGTGTAGCAAGGGTCTAAAAAATTCTGTCAAGGGAGAAGCATATGAGAAGCTTCATTATGGTTAGGGGGGATGCTTATTCTCCTTGCCTTCCTATTTTCATATCCCTCTCTTAGCACTGAGGGGATGTAATTTAATGGTCTATGTTTCACATCCTAGTGGGAGGAGTACTGTGCCACAAATCACTATTATCATCATCATCGTCACCATCAGCAGTATGCTGCTAATATTTATTGAGCACCTACTGTGACCTAGGCACTACTCTAAGCAGTTTACATGTCTCACCTCATAAAACCATAAGAAAAAGACAAATAACCAAACAAAAAATAAGTGGAAGCTTGAACAGACATTTCACAAAAAATAAAAATTAATGGTTAATAAATATATCAAACAATGCTCAACCAGATTATAAATTAAACACATACCAAAAATAAAACATACCATGATACCATTAAACACCTGAAAGAATGGCTCATTTTAAATTATACTATTTATATTTTAATTTTAGGTAAGTATTCCTATGTAAATATTAATGAAAAATTAACATCACTATTATTTTATATTAATTAAATAATTAAAATAATGTCAAGTGTTGATGACATTGATAACACTCTTATACCACTGGTGGGAGTACACATTGTTACAGCCCTTTTTGAAAACACTTTAAAATTACCTAGTGAACCTAAACCCTATGGCCAAGCAGTTCCACTCCAAGGTAGATTCTCTAGTGAAACTCTTGCAATGTGTTCATAATAGCAAACACCGTGAAACAACATACATGTACATGTCTAATATAAATGTCGATGCAATAAAATGTTACACATTTATAAATGAATCTTACCAACATAATACTGATTGAAAGAA